GATTCCGGGACCCTGCACTGCCCGGGAGCGGCTGGAGCAGTCGCCGCTGGTGTATTGCCGGGACGCCAGGGGTCCCTCGCTGTCGGATTCGAGCGCCTCCGAGAGCATCCGTGTCACGTGGCTGGGGTGGGCGCCACAGAAGGGGAACCGAGCGCTCACGGGGCCCGGAGGGTTGGGCTAGTGGAACATTGTGTGCGACAGTCCGGGCTGGAGAAATCTGGGGTACGGTGGTTCCACCGTGCCAGGCTTTCCCCTGGGGATCACGTTACAAGTGCCCCTTTCTGAGCTCCCATCCCACTCCCGGCAGCACAGCGCCCCCTAGGGCCATGTGAGGTACTGCAGTAAGCACGGACTGCCAGGGGAGAGCGCCCCCTAGTGAGCCCCAGCTCCACTCCATGCAGCACAGCGCCCCCTAGGGCCATGTGAGGTACTGCAGTAAGCACGGACTGCCAGGGGAGAGCGCCCCCTAGTGAGCCCCAGCTCCACTCCATGCAGCACAGCGCCCCCTAGGGCCATGTGAGGTACTGCAGTAAGCACGGACTGCCAGGGGAGAGCGCCCCCTAGTGAGCCCCAGCTCCACTCTATGCAGCACAGCGCCCCCTAGGGCCACACTGAGGTACTGGAGTTAGCACCGACTGCCAGGGGAGAGCACCCCCTAGTGAGCCCCAGCTCCACTCTATGCAGCACAGCGCCCCCTAGGGCCATGTGAGGTACTGCAGTAAGCACGGACTGCCAGGGGAGAGCACCCCCTAGTGAGTCCCTGCTCTGTGCCCTGGATTTGCCCCGCTGGGGGTGGTACCACCCAAGGCCCAGCCAGGCCTGAGCACAGTTAGCCTGCCAGATCCGAAGAGCTGGAGCTGATGCTGCCGCAGGGAGCTGGGACTCCCGGCCGGGGGCACCACAAGGGCTGGCCCCTGCCTACCTGAACTTGTAGTCCGTGTAGCGCATCTGGTGAGCCCGGAGTTTGGAGACCAGGATCTTAATGATGCGGACGAATATGACAAAGTTAACCTGAGAGAGACAGAGGGGGTCACCCGGGGGTGGGGAGGTCGGGGGCATCAGTTCCCACTGGTGCCCTCTGCCCTGGGGATGGGCTGGGAGCCCCCGCAGCAGGGCTGGTGTTTACGAAGGGGAGGTGTTTGTACATGGGGGGGAAGACAGCATTGCTCCCCAGTGCCAGTACTCCGAGACCAGGACTGGAGCAACTGGGAGTGTCCCTCCCGCTCCTCACGGAACCCCCTTCCCCCCACAGCCAGTACCCCCAATCTATTCCCCACAGCGCCCCCTTCTGGGGGAGACCAGGACTGGAGCAACTGGGAGTGTCCCTCCCGCTCCTCACGGAACCCCCTTCCCCCCACAGCCAGTACCCCCAATCTATTCCCCACAGCGCCCCCTTCTGGGGGATACCAGGACTGGAGCAACTGGGACTGCCCCCCCCCACTCCTCACAGAACCTCCCTCACACCCAGTGCCCCAATCTACTCCCCACAGCGCCCCCTGCTGGATGACACTGGGACTGGAGACACCAGGTGCTCCCTCCACATCCAGCGCTCCCTCCCCACAGCGCCCCCTGGAGGGCAACACTGAGACTGGAGACACTAGACGATCCCTATACATCCAGCACCCTCCTCTCTGCAGCGCCCCCTGCTGGCGGAGGCCGTAGGGGCTTTGTGACTCACCAGGATGGCCAGCAGGATGGGGCAGCGGATGATCCACCAATAGGCCATGTTATCATTTCTCTCCCAGCACCTGGAAAACCAACTCCAGTCAATCTGGCCGGGCGGGACGAAGCTGCACAGCAGGATGGGGGTGATGGCAGGAGGGCAGCAGCCTCCCAGACTGCACCCACCTTCTCTCCCCCCACCACGGGCTGCTCCCCTGGGGAGCACAGATTCTGTCTGTGACCCCAAGCAGCTGAGGACAGGCCTTTGCTCCCCACTGGGGTCACGTAATAAAGAACAAAGAGGACCTGATGCCCCAGGAGCGGGGGTTCATTCAGTGATCCATGCCCCTTGCAGCAGAGGAAGACAAAAAAAAATCCCCCAAGAACACTATGACAGCCCCCCCTCCCATGCCTTATAAGAATCGGCTTGTGAATATGAATATGCATAGCTCGGAGATGCTTTATGCAAAACAGGTCATGTAACATCCCCATCTTATAGTTCCAGTCTGTTGGATCCGGGTACCCTCCTTTGGCGCGTGTATCCTGTCTGTGAGGCTGGGAAGATGAAGTGTGAATCTGCGTATAGTTTGAAATGTGCTAAGACCGGTGTCCCGGAAGCCTAAAGGCTCAGTGATCAACTCAGCGCCTCGGAAACAGCCTTGTTTGAATTGTCAGCCCACACGGTGGTTGGTCTAGAAAGACATGTGGCCATACCAGCTGGTGCTGGAATCCATCTTGAACCTGGTGTTTTTCCATGGGAACAAGGGGTGGTGGTAGCAATCAAAGGATTCCCAACGTGGGGGACAGTCTATTAAGCAATGGGAAATCCCATGTCTCCGGCTAGCTTTGGAAACTGTCTGGTCCAAACTGAGAGGATGCAAGGAACTTTGCAGAGGGCTGAAGACTCAAGTCAGAGCAAAAGAACAACTCTGACTGGAAGCTTTTACCAGGGATAATCTTAGTGGATTAGAATCAGCCATGCGCTTTCTATTCATTTTAATGTAGTAACTTACTTTGATCTGTCTGCAGTCCCTTGCAACCACTTCAATCCTGCTTTTTATGATTAATAAAAGCTCCTTTGTTTATTAACAAGCCAGTGTAAATAACTGGTATCCGGGGGGAGCAACCACTGTGCATATCTCTCTTTCATTGATAAAGGGAATTAATCTTATGAGCTTCTTCCTGTGTAAAAGTTTTACCCAGAAAAAGACAGGTTTCTTTGGAGGGGTTCATCCCCTTTGCGGGTTCAGTTTTCTGGGTGCTGAGCCTAGAACTAAGTCCTCCTCCCGGAGGTGAGCTGGTTTAGTATCTGTGTTGCTCTGCAGGCGGGGTGGTAACCCCAACTCTGCCTTGGCTGAGGGAGACCAGAGGTTCTGACCCAGTAGGACACGGTGGCAGGGATCCTCATAGAGCAAGGCAGCACACTGGGGAACAACCCCAAGGGGACGACTGTGACTACACCCCCACCACAACCACAGCCAACCTGATGGGGGGGGAGTTCTTTCTGCACCCCATATCTGGTGATTAGTTCAACCCTGAGCATGGGATCAAGAACCAGACAGCTTGTGAGAAAATTTTGGGGGTTGCCCTCGCTGGCACGCCCTGACCAGGGTCGCATCTCTGGCCGTGCCTATCCCTGATGCTTCAGAGGGTGGAGATGAAAAAGCCCCAACCCCAGAATACACCGGGAGAGGGGAGGAAATTCTGTCCTAAATCCCTCAGGTGGCTGGAGCATATGGGAGCCTCAGATCTGCTACTCGCTCTGGCTCACAGAATTAACCCATTAGCAGATGCTCCAGATGCAGACGGTTCCAGTTCTAGACGCACGGATCCGGAGTTGCCCAGCAATGCAAAAGCAGCGAGCTCCCGCACCCAGAGAGATTTACACAGGGGCAGGAATAGGGATGGGGATACCGGCGTCCGTCTCAGGTTGGAGCTGTTCAGGGTGTTTGATTCAATTTTTTGTAAAGAAGTGACTTTTTCATCAAACTGGGACCGGTCATTTTTAGCAATGTTCTGCTCCCTGTTTCTGGGACCCGAGGATGAGACATTCTGGTGAAAACCGTAAAACACATTCCCTTTAAATCAGGCTTTGGGGGTGTGACGGCGCGTTGGGGGTCCCCCATCTCCTCCATGCTCCCAGCCAGCAACTCACTAACTCTCTTCCAGCCCTGCCCCCCAGCCAGGGCAGCATTCCACCTTCCTTTGTTCCTCTCCATGGGGGGTGTCTGGCCACTGGTTTGCATAGTGACTCATCCTGTTTTGCTGGGTCGTGGTACCCACGGCAGCCAGTGGGGGTTCCCCCAGAGCCAGCAGCATAGAAACCAGCCAGGTACCCCCACTACGTCACAGGGGGTTTCAATGAAAACCTGGCCATTGGTGAGGAAAACAAAACCGAGTGTGAAATTGTTCCCCTGCCTTCCAAGACTTCCAACCACGTCCTTTCTGTGCCACACCCCAGCCAAAGGGATCCCGCTGGCTGGACTCACTGGTTGTTTTCGTAGAGGTATCTGATGATCACCCAGGGAACGACAAACAGGATGGGGGCTCCTGCAGGGAGAGACAGACGCAGACGTTAAGAATTTCATTCTCCATGAGATGGCCCACTACATCAGTGGTTCCCAAACTTTTCGGCATCATGCCCACTTTTTGATTTTTGAGAAACCCTCATGCCCCCTCCCCCCGCCCAAAATTGCAGCAAAACTTGCTGAGCAAAAAAAAAAAAAGTTGCCCCTTTAAGAGCAGGCATTGCCCTTTTAAGATGGCCATTTTGAAGTCTGCCCGGAACGCTCCATCCTCCCGTCCTTCCCGCCCCCGCCCCAGCCAGCCCAAGTTGCACAGACCAGTCTCTTTCGAGTTCTCCTCCCCTGGAATTTCTTCACGCCCCCCAGTTTGGGAACCTATGATCTAGACCAGTGGTCTCCAACCTTTTTAAGCACAAGATCACTTTTTGAATTTCAGTACAATCCAAGATCTACCTCAAACCTAAATACCCTCGTCTCCACCTCCTTCATGTCCCTTCTTTGAGGCCCCGCCCCTGCTCACTCCATCCTCCCCCCCTCCCCCATCCTCC